TCTACCGCCACCACCACCACCGTCCACCACCACCTCCGTCAACGTCCACCACCACCCTCCACCACCACCACAATCGTCCATACACCACCACCATACACTACCACCATTAATTTATATAGCAGTCCACAGACATTAAAAAAACAAACAGTCTTCTTCTTGCAGACCGCAGACCTTCGGTCCACCACTTCTCCTGCAGATGTCTACAGTAGTGGTCCGCAGACCGCAGACCTTTTCCTGCAGAAAAAACAAACACCTCCTCAATAAATGTCACTTTATTACATGAAGTTATCATATAAATTGGAAGGTAACAAATGACTCCCGTTCTGGTTTGCTGGTTTTGGGTTGCGAAAATAAGATTGGACAAAGACTTTAGAAACTAAATGAAATCATCGAAAAAATAGGAAAATAAAACTCCATAATAATAATAATAATATGAAAAATACACGATATTGTATGAAGGAATTGTATATAGTTTTTAAAAATAAAAAAACAAGTAGAAAATAAAATAAAATTTTAGAGCTTTGCTTAAGAATGATGAATCCCAACCTCGAGTCTCTTAGGCCCAGTCCAGTTAGATTCCACGTGAGTAGGATTTGAGAGGGTGTGTGTATGCCGCAGACTCAGCCACTGATATCTATTTATCATGATAATAATTAAAGATAAGTGAAAGCAAAAACAGATGCATATCTCACCTTATTAGGAGCTTTGTTTTCCTTTCACCATCGTGCTTATCATCAACCGTCAATGCCAAATCGGGAACGCCGCCCTACTTATATCAATGCTTCTGTCTTCGTCTTCTGCAAATTCTTCTGTTCTCCTTTCCAATTCGTCTTCGTCTTTGAGATGCATAAAATTTCTATTTTCCTTTCCAATTCCTGCCAAATTCACTCAATATACTGTTGAACATACTGAAACAATGCTCTAATTTTTCTTTTACATAGAACAGATCGAATAACATGAATTGGCTTTTTTAGAGTACAATAATGTGTACAATTATTTCCTAGTGAAAATTGACTTATTTGCCTAACTTCCAATCAACGTAGTACCTATTTGGTATATAGAATTCAAATTATGAAATTGAAAATGAGGACTTCAATTATAATTTTGGTGTTTAGTAGCATAAAAATTATGTAGATTTAGAATTGATAATGCTAAAACTGGATTGAAATTGACAGAATGAAATTCTATGGAATTAAATCCCATGAATTTTGTCAATTCCTATCACACATTCGATAAGTAAGAAAATTCTCCCTAAACAAAAACAAACATGAAAATGTGTTACTCCCGCTAAGTTACGGAGTAAAACAAACGATTAGAAACAATTAGGAAGCATAATCCCGCTGGCAGGCTCATTCCCTCCCGTCCAGATCGATCTAATCCAACGCCAAAAGAAAGAGAAGCCCGATTGAGAGCAGCGATGTTTCAGTCCATTTCTAATTTCTGATTTCTTTTGGAAGTCTTGCGACTAGTATCAGGCAACACGGTTAGAGCACAAGAGCATTTGCTTTCTTCTTAAAATCCTTACTTCTTCATCTCAAATTCCAAGTGTTATTATGATTTAGGGTTATAATAAATAGATATAAAAGTTTTATTTTAAAAAAACTAGGGTTATTGAGATTTAGGGTTGAAATCTTAAGATCTTAAATAAACTTAGGTTATTTTGATGATAGTTTGTAATAATTTTATATATATAGTTTGTATATTGTTATTCACCATTTATAATTTAATGATCTTACAGAAAATTAAATACATAGTTGATTGTGACTTATATTTTAATTCTCATGGAGTATTATTATATTAAGATTTAAATCCTTAATCAAGCAGTAAAATCACAGCTAAAAGAAAAAAAAAGTTATAAGTTGAACTCTTTGGCTTCTAATTGCTGGTGTTGCCTTTGTTTTTGGAATCTGCTTTCTCACTGTTTTTTTTTCCAAAATGAGGAAGATGTTTTTGCTTTTGTTTATCTTTCAAACAAATTGGGTTTCCTGATAATTTTTATGGGTATTGTGTGATTTGTAGTGATTGATAATCACTCCCTCTCTCCCAAAATAAGATTTTTCAAATTGGAACCATGAATCATCACGATTACTAAGAAAGGTGAAATTATATAAACAAAGAAATATAACAAAACACACAATTTCTTCTTTAAGAAGAAAAAGAAACCTTATTTTGGGACAAATCAAAGAAAGAAAAGTGGATCATTTTTACGGGACCAAGGGAGCATTAGTTTGTTGTTTGTTAGTCACTTAGTTCTTACCGTGAATTTAGAATTACAATTCGTTTTTAGCAAGAATTATCTAGAAATGGAAAGTAGGTGTAAAGAGAAAAAGAAAATTGAAGAGGAGTTAGCTCAATTGAAAACCAGGCACTTCGTAAATATTTCATAAGTAAACAAAAGAAGTCTTTGTAAAGAGGGGCCGAGTTTAAGTTTTAGCTCAGGTATTCTAAAGTATAGGATATGGTTCTGGTAATATTCCCCAACCTAGCTTTACTTCCTCCGTACAAGAAAAAGAGCTTAATATTCGACATTTGTGACAGTGACAAATGTTTTTTCAGATTAGTCACAGGATGTCATGAAAAGTTCACTAGACTTTTTTGGAGAGGTGGATGTTAGATTTGTTTAACAAATGTGCCCCCGACGATGCTTTGTTTTGGATCCACCAATGGTGGTGGGACCATTATTACTAGGACACCAAATTTCTGTGCTCATGCATTGCCCTTTATTTTCTGAAATTCTGGTGTATTTAAATGCAGACATTCTGATTTATCAATTCTGAACATAACATGCAATGGACAGCTTTGAATTTTCGTATGTTTAAATGTTTCACTTGAAGCTGTATATGGTCACTTTTGACTAGCAATGTTTATGCAACTGTTTTTTTTCTATGGGCTGCCAAGCATTTTGTCTAGCAAATTTGTCAATCTTACCTCTATGAAATTAATCAATATATACTAGGTTTCGGTTTGCTCATATGTGTATTAGACAACCCAACTAGACGATCTTGTGATCTCCTTCAACTTTTTTTCTTTGTTCCGATTCGAATTGTTCTAGCTACCCTGTCGTGTAAAATTGCTCAATCTTGTGATCTCAAGTGCAATTTTAACAATGGTTTTGATTATTGTAGTAGAGTTGTTTGAAACTTTAGAAATCATATGTGCTCGTTGGTTTAGTACTTGTTTAATAAAGTGTGTTGTGAAAGAGTAGTTGGAAGTCGGAAGATAGG